GCTCAATTCAGTGTTCCCTTTCCTTTTCTGCTGCTCTTGGCTAAGAGCTCTGGGTGGGGAGATGCCATGACTTTTACACCTGGCCTTTTTCTGTGCAGGACAAATTTTCCTGGCCCCTAATGACAGCTGACAAAAGACCCACAGATACTTTCATCCTGGGAACCAGTGTCTAGGCAGTTGACACTACAGCAGGGGATCAGGAGCCAGTTTCGGCTGAAAAGAACCAGGAGAGAAATATTAGTAAGAAGGCATGTTGTTGTGCTTCTAATGAACACTGGACTAGAGAGGAAGGGTGGGGGAGGCATAAGAAAGGACCCAGGGAAGAGCCATTCCCTGAATATGTTCTCAGAGCAAAAACAGTGGGGATGAATGCATTTGTCTGCTTAGGTTTAAGCCATATTCATTCAAATGTGACACAATTCAGAGTTAGACTTCACATCAAACCTGCTTACTTCAAGAAATGAACAAGCAACCATAACTCTGGTGTCTAGTGACACCAAAGAAAGGCCAAAGTAAGATGAAGGCATCTGAGAATACGGGGCTCCATTTTATCTTCCATTTATTTTCAAAGCCATCATTCTTTTCCCTGTTGGGGTAGCACCACGGGGCAGAAGTAAAGTCGTTTGGGTGCCTCAGGTTTGCATTTCTTTTAAATTTAGCTTTAGCATACCAATGATACACCTGTGATGTATTTTACCATTATGTTAAAGCCCTGAATTCTGAGACTTTGTTTTATTTAACAAAAGCTTTTATCTTGGAATTTTCTTGTTTTTCTATATTCATCTTCAAACTAAACAAGTTTAGTTTAATCTTCATATTAAACAAGTGCTCCAGAGAGAATGATACCATGCAATACCTCCAGTCATTTGTAGAGATGAGGTATGTACCCTAAATCCTTGTTATCCAAGGACTTCAGAGCAGAGCAGATTCAGCATAACAATGACTCTTAGACTCCCCAACAATGGCCAACATGACCCTTCTTGCCACAAGACAGTGCAGCACATCTTTAACTCTGAGGCTGTAGATTAAGGCCTGTGGATGCATTACATGATTCTGAATCAGGTCAGAATGACAAGTGGGTTGTCATTTGCAGAAATCTAGGAGTTCAGCCCAGAACAAAGGCTATGTAACACACAGGGAAAGAAGAGCTGCCAACAACTAGGAAACTTTTTTTAAAGCATTTGATACCAGGCAAACCTGAACCTATTAGGAGGGGCTGAGGGTCAGGGGTAGGACACTGCTTGCTGTTTCAGCACACCTAGCTTCAACTTGTGGCTCTGCTACTTCTTATAGGACCTTGGTCAAGTTGCTTCCTCTGACCTGTGCCTGTTTCCAAACTGGAGAAGATGTGGGGGATGCTCCCATAATTTTCAAGGTGTTATGAGGTAAGCCCACTCACTGCTGCACAGTGCTTAGATGCAGTGGCAAGGGCTGCACTCCCACCTCTCTACTCATACTTATTATTTGAATAACAGATGGATCATGACAGTGGCTTAGCTAATGTTTGCAAAACACAGAAGGTGAAAAATGCTGCTTTGGTCTTTCAATCCTGCACCATAGAATAGACAGAAAAAGTGTGAAATTTTGCACTACACAGACATTTGCATGACAAAAATATTCAGCCTTCAAAAACAATCCCAGACAAATTATCAAATAAAAGAGAAAATTCTCCAAAATTGGTTTAGCTGAAGGTTCCACATACTTCTGACCTACAAATTAAGAGGTAATGGATAATAATAGATATACTTTGCAGTTCTATACCACATATTAATCATCACAGTTTGATGATTGAGTATTATCCCCTTTTCACAGACAGGAAAACTGAGTTACAAATCAGTTAAGTGACTTGGGCCTCTTGGCCAAGCAATGGTACCATCAAGGACTCTACCCAGGGCTCAGGTTTTCCACAGTGAGTATGCATGATTTGTGCATGCAATTCATCCAGCTGCCAACAAATATATCATTTTAAACTCCTAGCCCAAGAATTTTGAGGGTACTCTCCAAATGTCAATATTTACAATCAGGATTAATTATTCTTCCCCTTTCCATTTTTCTTTTTCACCCCCACTGTCAGATATGAGTTAAGCTCTGATGTGTGTTTGGTCTGTCTGTAGCTGGCCAATATACATCTCCCCGTTACCATGCTGACAGTCTCTACAGCAGCTGGGGAAGCAACAAGGGGTTGTTGCAGTGTGACAGCCCTAAAAAAGGATGATTTTTTATTTACATTTCAAAATAAAATGTTTAAAATAAGTTTACTTTTAAATACCTCTTTCCTGCATATTTATGTATTCCCTGCAGTTACCTCTGTAGGATGGTTATTAAGAAGGCTACCATCCTCTCAGAGTCTTAAACTTAGACTTATCTGGTAGCTTTGAACTTGAAGGACCTCAGAGCACTGCACACATCAAATAAACAAGTCTCTCATCTGTGGTACTAGAGTCCAATGGTTCACCTGACATTCATTATTCAAGGAGGCACCCTGTGGCTTCATAAATGTATGAGTTTACCTCAAAGATGCTGGGCACACAGAAACATCTCTGCCAAGCCACAGAAGTAAGGGTTAAGAGACAAACTACTGTGCACATAAGTAATAAAATGTGGCTCATAACATCTAGTCTCAATATGCAAAACAATTAGCAGATCCTTCTCTTCAGTCACATCTTTGAAAAGGAGGGAGCCAGCTCACATGGCAAACAGATTTCCACAGCAGCAGCCACTGCAGACTCAGGCAGGGACAGAGGAGGTGTTGGACTATCCAGTTTGGAGTTCACATGTAGCATGTCTACTGTCTCTGACCTGGGTGGGGGACTGCACCAGGAAAACATGCTCTGCCTGTTCACTTCTGCTCCATGTATGCATGGCCAGCACTACTCCTAAACCCCTCAGCTTCATGTCTACTTACTGCTACATGCCTGGCAAGGGTGGCCACTGGCCATGCTACATGTAGGACTAATGGGGTGGGGTGTGTTTTCACAGGTGCACCCACTCCCCCAATGGGAGCCAGTGCAGACAAGGCCATTACAGCAACTACTTTGCTAACAATAATGGAGAGAAGGACTGGTACCCCAGCCCCACAGGCAAACACCCCTGCATGCTGGAGGAGGTCAGATCTAAATCCAAGTTGACTGACATAGAAATAACCTGAGAAGGATATATCAACACTACAGGGAGGAGATCTGGCATGGAAGCACTGATGTCATAGCATGGTGGTTCCTTATTCAGTTTACTCAGATTTTACATATGCTGTTCCATGCTCTTGTAGGGGAGGGAAGATATTCCTACCTGCAGCAACTGATGTGATAGTGAGAGGCAAGTTTGGTGATATCTCAAAGCCATAGTGACCGAGAAGCAAATCCTTATGGATTGTGACTGTGAGCTTTACCCGGGTCAGTGGTTGGTTAATGCCATCAGATGGGATGTCCACCACAGATGTTCTCCCCCTGCAGATTTAGTGAGAGTGGGAGAGAAAGCTGGGCGTTAGTATCAGTTGATGCAATAATGATTTCTAAGAGCTTCTGGAGTGGAAGTAGAGAATGGTCAAGGTGTTTACCACAGGTTGGTTGGAGCGCAGGGGCCTCTTACACAGTGGGAATATCTACAGAACTTTAAAAAAAAGAGTCTTCAGAGAACTGTCCTGACTACCTCAGCATGATCAGAGACCAGGAGCAGCCCCTCTACTCAGCACTGTCTGTATGCTCAGCATGGAGGGTAGTTAAATGCAAAGCTTGGAAGCAGCAAAAGAACACGTCTTAGACATCTGTGCAGAGCATTCATTTGGATGTTAGGTGCTGTGTCTTGGTCACCCCCTCCTTTGGAGCAGGAGGATCCATTGGGAGAGAAGAGGCCTCTGTGGTCTCAGGGAGCAGAAGCCTCAGCATGGCTTCGCCAGCTAGAAAAAGGTCTGCAAAATGGAAGGGACCTCTGACTCCCTTCTGAAGCCCTATTCCAAGTCAGGAGGAAGGAAGCAAGAACCAACCATGCTAAACAGGGACTCTGCTCCGTGTCACTGGGGGAGCAGCTCCAGAGTCCTTTCTCCCAGCTGGTAACCACCCAGCCAGCATCCCTGAGTGTAAAGAGTCCAGCTCATTGAGCTGTGGTGTTAAGCTGTGCAGCTGACTCAGCTGTAGCTGAGCAAAGTGAAGGAAGAGAGAGGAGGCCAAGGACTCTCTACCTCCACCCTGAGCTAACATGTAACCTCCTCTCCATTTGCTCAGTGGGGAATGGGAGAATGAGGGATGCTTGGGGGCACCAAGGGACACAGTATGAAAGTAGATGAACAAAGGGGCACTAGACTGAGGCCACTTGCCTATTTCATGGGTGCTCTGGGACAGCTTTTAGAAGGAAACTGCTTCAGACTGTTACCAACATGAGTCAGCTTGAAAGCAGTGTCCTAAGAAAACATACTGGATTCTGGTTCCCAGAGGCCATCCTGTTCTGCTCTGCACACACAGAACTTAATAGCAGATTAAGAAGAATGGTTGGGAAGGTTAGCCTCAATTAAATACCATTAATTACCTCACCTAATGCATGGCAGCCCATCCAGAGCTGGGAAAAAGCTTCCAGGACCTACACTAACTCAATCGGCATTGACAACCCAGTCAGAATACAAACAGCACTGAGCTCTAGCTTGCCACTCAGGATCCATATTAAAGGAGACTCTTTTTTACTTGCTGGAAACATGTTTGTTTCAAGCTCTCATCAAAATCCCCCACCAATAGGAATTCTGCATGTGAAAATGTATTTACCTCGATGCACTATCCCGGGATCGGCGGATCCATCTTGCTACCATTTGTTCTATTCTACAAGATTTACGCGATTGAAATGAGTTGGTGTCCAAATCTTCCATTTACCTGAAGAAGAGAGAGATTAATTTTCTTAAATCATGATAACTTGCAAGAACCAAAGCAGCAGGAAGGCTAACTTGCCCCCTATCAGCTCTGGTTACCAGAGTGGGCTCGGTTATCCATAGCCTAACTACCCACAGCTGCCTCCAGTTGCCTGCATGGGCTAGTGCCCAGGAGGCTACTCAACAGAACACTTGTCTCTGTCTAGCTTTGGGCTTCTGGATCTTGTTCTTAGTTCCTAGTCCCTGCCTGTTTAATCTTAGTTTCCTGTTCCTTGGGCCCTGTTTTTTGGTTTCCTACTTCCTGGCTTCACCCTTGTTCCTGGTTTCTGCCTATTGGTTCCTCACTCCAGTCCAGAACCCCTTCTTCTGACACCTGGCTCCTTGTTCATGACTCTAGCTTGGTGATTGCCCATGTCCCAGTCCCTTACAGCTATAGCTGGAGCTGCTTGCTCCAGATCCTTTGGCTATTGACTCTGGTCTGCATCCTTACTTCCAGCTCTTGATTCCCATCGCTTGAGGCTCTATTGCAGTGACCACCCACATCCCAGTAAAGAACTCAGTCCCCTGATCTGTCTGCTTCTGATACCTTAGGTGCAGCTCTTGCTTCCTGACCTTGTCTGTGCTCGATCCACTGGGTTGTGGACCCAGGCTGGGGTCAAGCCCTGACTGATCACATTCTGACTGTATCCCTGACAATAACAAACTTAAGAACAGTGCCAGACTGGGTAGGACCAGCCATCCAGCTATACTAGTATTCCCTTCTCTGACAGGAGCCAGTACCAGGTACAAGGGTCCTTAAACTCTGAGGAAGGCAGTTACAGGATAACCCCACCATGGGGGAGTTCATTCCTAGCCCTAGTCTGCTTCACCACATAAGTGTTGCTATCTCTTATTTAAAAAGTTTGTTTATGTGAAAGAGTGAGTGCAGTAAGGTTTCTTTCCCAAGACTTTTCAGTTAGTGGGCTAGAATCTGGGAGCTTTTGCACATCTGTACATTTTGCAAATAATGTTGTGGAATGGAATTATTCCACCCCAATTCTGTCTGTCCCTGAAGGTGTCTGCACTGCAGGATGGGTAAACAGTGTGCTAGGAAGAGACATAGGGTACATAGTCTCTATGGTTGTCCTCAGGGCAACTTCACTGCCTCATTTCTAGGATTAGCACATGCAGAAAACAAGTGGGTAGGTGGGTTGTGCCAGGGAGCACTGCTCTGGGAAGCACTGTGGAAGTAATACGAAAAAACTCTTTGTGGGAACAGGAAGCTGAAACCAAGTACAAGTAGGTGCCCATTTGTGAACCATGTTCTCTAGGAGGCAGAATATGGACCCTCTCAGTTTTATCACAAAGCTCACTGTTTCTGTTAATTCTCTTCCTAAAAGCCCCTGGCTTCTGGATGCCTGTGAAGAGGTTAAAGTCTCACCTTTCATTAAAAAAAAAGTTTTGAAGTCTCCTGGTAGCAGAGAAAAGCCCCAAAACGTAACAGCTACAACACCAGAGAACATGTGAAAAAAAGCAAACAGTTAGTATTTTTCAAATCTCATGATTGTAGGTAACCCCCACTCATAATTATTGGCTGCTTGGGGTCAGCCATGCCACAAATGTATTTTTAAACAGGGGTATTATCAGTAGAATCATAGAAAATGAGGGTTGGAAGGAGATCATCTAGTCCAACCCCCTGCTCAAAGCAGGGGCATCCCCAGCTAGATCATCCCAGCTAGGTCTTAAAAATCACGAAGGTTGGAGATTCCACAGCCTCTCTGGGTAGCCTGTTCTAGTGCTTTGCTACCCTTCTCGTGAGATTTTTTTATAATATCTAACCTATATTTGCCTTGCTCAAATGCTTTTTAGCAGTCATCCATGCTCAAATGCTTTTTAATATAATGGCACATGTTAAATTACCCCGCTTAAACCCACTCCTGGGTGCCAGGATGGGACAAAGAGGAATAGGGACTAATAGAAGGACTGATAACCTAGAAAGCTTCTTACAGCTCTGAACTCTTACCTTTCCCTCCCCAGCTCTCTCTTTACCCATGTGAATTTTATTAGGATAGTTACTGACTGCCAGTTATTGGCTCCTCAGCACAGAAACTGATTCTGGGTGAGTTGCTGTATCAATCTCCCTTGGTATCAACACCTGTACTACAAACAAAAGAGAAGAGCAAGCTGAGCCTGGCAGAACAGGGCTGGTCTCATTGTAGAAGAGAACCTTTCCACTGCTCTTGGGGGACCCAAATCCCACTTCCCAGTACTGAGTTCAGCTAATGCTCCTGGAAGCTGCAAAAACACACAAGTCCAACCCCAACACAGTTATTAGTTTGAATTCAGAGAAAGCCTCACATACAGTAGAGAAAGAAGTGTGAGGCTGCTCGTAACCTCTGAATCATTACAGCAACTGCCACTAGGGGGACCCTGGACTTCTGGCACGCTGCATGGCTAATTAAAACAGCCACATTAGGCACAGGGCCCTGGCATCTGTTCCAGTGCAGCAGGTCACCCATGTGACATCACCTGACTCTCCTCTGACCTCCCTTCTCTGGGATGGAGTGATTTGACCATTTGGAGTGCCCTCCCCTACATCCCCACCTGAGCTGGGTGCCCCATACAATTCTCAGGGTCCCCCTGCAGAGTCACTCCCCTGCATTTGGCCAGTGAGCCACAGTTCCATTTCTTCCACCAGTGGTGCTGAAACAGCAGGGACTCAAACTTACTGGGTCCAGTAGCCATGCTTAGAAGGTGAAAAGAAACAAAGGCATTCTGGTAGGGAAGGCTACATTCTCACGGAAAGATGGTACCTTGCTTCCCCCTTCCTGTTCTCAAGCCCCAGAAAGGTGTCGGCCACTGTCTTCTGTTAGTACGGAGTAGAAGGGAGTAAGTCCTCGATGGGAACATTTTGGGGTGGGTGACAGCAAGGTCCAGAAGGGAGTTGCAGCTGCCTTGGGAAGAGGAATGTGCAGGACAGTGAGCAGTTGCATTCTCTGTCTGTGACAGGGATTTCCGCTCGGATTAAATGTAGCCATAGAAATTCTATGGAGATTAACAACTGACTAGTGCACGTGTGAGCAGCAATATATCCATGATAGGAGAAACAGCCCTAAAAGTGGCATCGGCAAGCTAAATTCCATACTGACAGGACTGGATAAAATGTACCTCTGTTTGCTAATCCTAGGGTTATAGAAATGGGGCTGTTTAGATTAACCACCACAGTGGGCAACTAAAACCAGAATCTCATCGAGCACATTCTGATTCAAAACCCTAAATTTCAATATCCTGGAGGTGGGACCTAACCTCTAAAGGCAGCTCCAAATCTTTAGCACTAGGTTTTGTTATACTTGGGCACTGGGCAAGCATTTTGCATTCAGCTGTATTACAATCTTAATAGTTTGTAATTGCAGTGTTGAAAAATGATGATGAAGTCCCATGATGCATCCTAACCATGTAACTGTCTCATTTTACTATGTAATTACAATAAATTGAACAAACAGCCAGACTGCATTAGCAATTTCAAGCAATAAAAGAATAATATATACATGTGTGGTTTTGCTGGAAGAACTGCCTTCAACTGCTGTGGTTGTATCATGGTTTAGGGAAACTGTGCCTAGCTCATAACAAAGTAGTTATCTAGAGTCTGAATTGTTTGAAAAGTGAACAGACTTCAGCATAGAAAAAACAAGGCATCCAAAAAGACACTCACCTCTGTTTGTGCCAGTTACTTAAGCAGTCTTAGGCAAATTAATATTACGGTCCCTTCTAACAGCTCCAGTTCCCTTCTCTAAAGGTCAGTGATACACTTTTTCAGCTCAACATAACTTTCATTTGTACTGTTTAAAAGAAATTTTGCTACCTAAAAATCGCTACTCAACAAATCTAGTCCTTGTGTCTGAAGACATAAAGCTGCTGGTTTTACTGGCAAAACTAGTAAGTTTTTAGCCTACTTAGTCCTGTTGAGCTAACAAGCTATAAAAGGGGAAGGTACAGTCAGTCCTGGATAAGGCATCATTAATTGAATTCCACATAGAGATTCTTTTATTTCTAGGGATAATGCATGAGCCAGCTTGACTTTCAGATCCCAAACAGAGTGTGCAAGTCCATCATTATAACAGCTGTCACATTGTATTTGTTAATTTACAGGTAAGAAATGTATTTTCTACGACCAGCAAAGTATTATATCCTGCTCTAGTTACTGCTCTGAGCCAACCCATGCTTCAACACTAGAAAAAGTTGCAGCTACAACTGCATCCTGACTAGGCTGAACTAATGTGGTATTTCAAGCTACGCAAGGGGAAAGAGTCTAGCCTTTTAAAATGAGAGGATGGGAAAGTTGCCAGGAAAGATGTATGAAACATTTGCTCTGAAACCAGGCAAAAGTCAACTGGTCATGGATGCAATGTGAAACTCATAGATGACCCTTGTGCTGGATCAGGAATTCATCCCATGAAGAACCCCATCACCACACCAGACTGACCTCACCCCTATTCATTCACATTTTCTTCTGTAGAAAACGAGCAAGGCTGAGGGCTTCCACTGCCTTCCCTCCTGGCAACCCCCAGGGAATGGAGGCTGGTTCTTCTTCCCTTCCCAAACCCCTCCTGTTCCTCCATGGTCACACAGCACAAAGGGGTAGCACACCCCTTTGACAACATGTGGTTTGGTAAATTTGTTCCGGGCTGGCCTGCTGTTCATATGCAGCATGCTGTGGAATTGCTCCTCCAGGCTCACAACTGCTGGTCCATCTGCCTCTGGGCAAGGTCCCCTGAGTCTCTGGTGGAATGAGGTGTGCTAGCTGTTATGCAGCCACTCCTGAAATGAACCAGATCTTGTGGCATGCAAAGCTTATTAACTTTCCAAACCCTCCTTGACTATGCAAAGATAGGGCAGCTGAATGGATGGAAAGCATGTGCTGCTGTTCAGTATTTAAGAAAACTACCTACCTGGGAAGCAGTTAAAAGCCACGAATCTGTGCCATAGAAGATGGTCTGTGGTGTGCTTGCTCGCTATATAAGACGAGTTTGTTCTCTTTCAGCATATTCTACACTTGGTGCCTGCTGCTTCTGGACTAGGAGCCTCCTGGGGCATTA